CCTGCTGAGGCATTCTGTGCTTCTCCCATTTCTCTGTGTGGCCAGCAGAACAAAGGGCTCTTTACTTAATTTGCTGCCAAATTCTTAAAATTTTCATGACCTCATTTAGAATAAAGCAGCTGAATTCAGAATTTGCTCTCATTTTCTTAAAGAACACTGTAAGAACACACTTTTCTTCCTTTAACTAAAAGGAAAGGGTAGTAACATCTACTGAGCCACTGCCATGTGCCCAAGCACTGTGCCACTCATCTCACCCATGTCACGACAGTTAACCCTCACAGCCACCCTGGGAGAAGCTTAGCCTCATTCTGAGGAGGACACGGGTTCATCTGGGCCAGGTAACCTGATGCAAACATCTCAAAGATTCCCCATTTCCCCTAAACTGGAAGACAGAGCTGCAGGCCTAATTAAACTCCTGAATAAACAAATTTTGCATGGCACTTGCTCGTCCTAATTCTTTTTTCTGGTGTTTAATCACAAAACATGGCTGAGGATGATTATACTAAGTTTACACTAAGTAAACATCTTACATTTTTATATATGCTCTGTTATTAACGCCAAGAGTTTTTCTGGATTATGTATTTGGTTACGAGAGAAATGATGACTGGGGGCAGGGGCACGGCACGCTGCACAGCATGTGGGGTCTTTGTTCCCCAACCAGGGACTGAACCCAGGCCCTCGTCAGTGAAAGCACGGAGTCCTAACCACTGGGTCACCAGGAATTTCAGAAATTATGATTTAACAGGATTGCTCTTTTGGTTTCTGAAAATTAAACACTTAAAAGTAGCTTTCTGAGAAATGAGCAAATGGAGACTATTCCTGTTTTAAATAAAAAGAGAACCATTCCATCACATAAAATTCTTTAAGTAGATTACTTACATAAATATTATTCAGGGAGGCACATGAAATTTTAGAAGCAATATTTGCCAACATTTAACACTCTTTACAAGTAGCATTAATTTGTTCCTTTTTAAATCTCACCCAACAAATCCAGACAATATAAATGGGAAAAAACTAAAATTCACAAAGAGATTGATTAGCCTCATAACAAAACGTCTCTTTAAATTTCAAACTCCCTTAATGATTTCAATTTTAAATATAAAATCTGATCTATTTTGATCTACACAGAAATGTTCAAAGACACATTTCTAGCACACAGCTATAGTCATAGCTACACTCAGCCAGGGTACACCGTCCCTCGCTTTAATTCACCATACCAGGCTACTCCACACAGGTTCCAGAACAGGCGTGATGAAAACCCAGCCGCTCCCCAGTCCTGACTCCACAGCTGATGCCACTCACCAGTCAGGGTTCTGTGGCACACCTCTAAACCCTTCTCAACATACTCTGCAGCCAGTCACTACCAACTGGGGTTGGCAAGCAAAATGAAACCTGATCAGCCCCTCATCCTAGAAGCCGCCCCTAAAAAACTCACTGGAAAGAGTACACTACTCTCCCTAATCTAGAACTAAGAAACCTAGGAGGAAAAGGAGCAGCAAAAATAGCTATTATAAATAATGGTAAAAAGCACAGGATTTAGAAGCCTCACTCTACCAGTTAGTAGCTGAGTGGCCCTGGGCTACTATCTGAGACTCAATTTACTTACCTATGAAATGGCAATAATAGATCTAACTCATAAGGATGCTGTGAATACATGCTAAACACCTGATAAACAGTAGCTACTACCTATTATGCGGCATAAAATCAGGGAATGTATTTCTAGAAGGGGCCTTAGGAGCATTCCAAAAAGAAAATGGACATTTATAAAGTACCTTCTACGTGTTAGAAGGGCCCCCAAGACAATAAATATTAGACAAGCATCCAGCCACGGGTCTTCCTCAAACACAGCCACGTTGTTTTCACCTCATCACACCCTCCTGGTGACTGAGGGCCTCAACCTCCACGCCCCACACACAGGAGCTTCGGATCGGCCAACAAAGAACGCATGATGCCAAGACGGCTCCCGAAGAAAGTCAGGTACGACTCTGCGAGCTACAAACCCAGACCAGACCCTGGTCAGGGACTGTGTGAGAACCAACACCAAGAAATACTTTTCATTACGTCCTTTTGAAAACGCTTCCCATGTCCGTAATGCATTAGCTCTAACAAAGAGGAACAATATAAAAAGACTAGAAATTCTCCTTCGATGATCAGTATGAATTAAAATCACGTTGAAGATAGTATAATTAATGAAAGGGCAGACTGAAAAACCTACAGTCTTAAGAAGCAGGCTCTTTCACCTTTCAAAAACCCCAATTTAATAAAATCCAAAGATAAATTATTGAATTACAGATAATGAAATATGGAAAATGACAAAAGAGAAGACCTTATTGATTCACAATTGCCTCACAGGTAAAAGTTCACCTAAAGAAACCTAATTTAAGCTGTAATATATTTCAATTTGTACATCAGAATAAGACTGCCAAGAAAATTCCGCTTTCCTAACAATCCTGTAGATACGTATTTTTACTGTGATCACTGCCAGAGCACAATTTCTAGAACAGCACTATGTACTGCGATAGTCCTGTGTCCTGTCTGAAGACCAACTACTGGAATGAGGAGACCACTGAACGCAAAGAATAGTTAATGCATTCGATGCCAGTTTAGGTTAGAAAAAAGTGAAAGAAATCAAACTGACTCTCTGAAAAGTAAATTTCTCTAGAAAACCTTATAAATAGAATATCTACTGTTATTTCTGCACTAACAGAATGAGAAGTAGTCCTGGGCTCATAGCAAAATACAAGAATGTGAACTGACAATGAAATGCTTCTATTAAACAAGTAACTATAAACCTGAAATGCATAAATAATATTCTGCACAGGTACGATATACAAGTCAATCCTCCCATATGCTAAGCCCCTGTCAGACCCTCACCAGGGTGGCTGATTCAGCTCCAAGCACACAACATAGCACAGCCCTGGGCATTAATGCCATGGTGCACGAAAGGAGAGAAGGAGCAGCAGGGACAGAAATAAAAGGAAAAATGAGAGCATACTTAGCACTTACAAGAACTGTCTCCTTTTTGCACAATGGGTATGTTACAAATAGTTCCTACCCACCAAAAAAAAAAAAACACACAAAAAAACCTAGGCCATTACGGAAACACTGTTCTGGTTCAGTGAGATACAAACAAACAAGAGACATTTATCCTCTGATAAGGTGAAAGTTGCCAACATGCTATTGGAGGAATTATTGGAATAAATCCTAATATACAGAACATGTTGGTTAACTAACTTAATACTGAAGAATTAAAAAGGGAGCTAAAAAACCATTTCAAAGTTTGGCAGACAGCTATTTTCATGTAAAATTCCTCTGTTGTTTTCCTGTGTATTGTAAAATTATATAGCATGATTTTGGAATATGGTCTGATATAAAAGCTTTCTTTTTTCCACTGGAGAAAAAAGCAAAAATTGAGGTAGATAAATTCTGCTGAGGTAGATAAATTCGTTAGCTGAAGGCTGCCTGTGGACAGCAGAGCTGTGCCCCGCACCTCCTAGTCTGCCGGAGCCCAGAGTGCCCAGGCCCGCACCGCACCACTGTGGCTGCCCAGGGAAAAGGCCTATTCCCAAACCATCGCCCCATGGCCCATCCTCAGAAGTTTCTAACTCAAGTAAAAAAATGAGACACTGACAAAGTATGATTAAAATACGGTCAAAAGCAAAAGGCCACACAGATACCGGAAACTGATGAACACTTGGGTCTTCACCTAAAGATAATAAATTCATACAATATTTAAACAATCTGATATAATACAGGCCATCTACTTATCAACATTTTGAGTCACCATGAACCGAGGTGAGAAACAACAGATTTGCTCTATCACAAATTTTCTTATGGCATGTGAAAAACTTCACACCTTAGTCTACAAACCTAGAAACAAGAGCAATTAAAACTCAACTAATTAAGCAGCTAACAAGGAGCTGCCCTTAATCCAGGACAGCAAACAACTCCTGCCCATTCCTAGTGGTACTGCTGTCCCTGGGTGAACTGAGAATTAGAAGTCCTTTTCTTTTTTTACTGTAAATATTTTGTGGTTTTAAAAGTAATCATCTGTAGCTGCTTTGCTCTAAGAGCCTGTGTCTTATGGTTCTCCCCCTTTCTTCCCCAGTTTGTAACACAAATTGCACACAATAGGGAGCTGAGACAGAGAGCACGACAGTTACTCGGACCAAAGAGAGTCTGTTGCAGAATTAATTATAATTAAAGCAAGAGATGAGTGTTACCTTCTATAATAAATAAAGACTATATGGCAGAATCAAGGAAGCAAGTATTCTACAGACGCTGACAGGAGAATCTCCTGCAATGGGAATCTATCTGCAGCAACTCTGTTTAGTTTAAGTACTGAATTTATCCAAACTGCAATTACTGTGCTTTACTGCAAATGATCTGAAATGGGCACTGTTAGGAGGTGAAGAAAGAAATGAGGGGTGCCCCACTTCTGAAAGCACATGGTAGGATCACACATGATTTCACTTTAGAATACTGTCAATCCCTTTTTCCCTCAAATGGGGGCGGGATGGTGGGCAATTAGCTTGAACTGGAAGACGGGAAACAGTCTTTGAAACAACGCTGCTTAAAAGCAACACAGAGACACTGCCCCCCCGCCCCCCGCTGCCACAGATGCTCCCTGAATCTAAAGCTACACACAACAAATTATGTGTTCTGTGGTAAAGGAAATTTTATTTTAAAAACAAACTCGATGATGCTAGCATAAATTATGTATAAAAAGAAGCTAAAACTGAGAAACGTCTAATTTAGGAACTGTCACACTGGTTTTTCACTAAGACTCAAGAGACAACTGAAACATGGGTCCCAATTGGAAGCAGGATTTAAAGGACAATTCTTACACCAGCTTCAAGTGGGGAGAGGCTGGTCCACATGATTCTAAGACAGGCAACTTTACTTCCCTTCCTTCAAAAATCCTCTCTGGGAGTTAGGACATACTAAGTGAAACATAGATTCCAAGAGGCACTGGTGACCTCGTCAACTTACCCCGCCTGACAACTTAATCACCCTGACCTTGGAGCTGACGTGCGGCCCGTCTCCGCCACCGCTGTTGGCCCGGTGCATGACAGTCCTTTTCGCGCCAGGCTTGACCTCCGGGGGCCGGCCCTGGAGGGACGCGGCTCGAGCAGTCTGCAAGGGGGGTGGCGGTCCCTCCCCGTCTGCAGGCTTTACCTGCAGGACTTTGTGCTGAGCTGGGCACTGAGGTATGGTTCTGGCCTGTCTCAAATGTTTCAGTGGTTTCATCTGCTGTCCTTGATACTGCGTGTTAGCACCAGATGGCACAAAATTGGATGTTTTGGGTGGAACATTTGAAACAGTGGCATCTTGGTTTTTCACGAGAAGTCTGTTTTTCACATGCGGTCTGACCTGTGCCCCCGGGAAGGGTAACAGTGGGTTACCATTGGTGGGCGACGGTGCCGACAGCTGCTCTTCCTGCCCGGCCAGGGCTGGTGGGGGGCAGAGCTGCTGCTGCTGCTGCGCCAGCCTCTCGAGCAGCTCCTTCTTCCTCGCGCCGGCCTGCTGCTGCCGCCGCAGCTCCTTCTGCTTCAGGATTTCTTCTCGGAGGCGCTTCTGTTCTTCTATCTTTAAGCGGTATAACCTCGTTTCTTCATCTTCATCAGGAAACTGAAGCAGAAAACACACATGGTTTAGAGTACAAGGCTAGGTGATGGTTCCAGTCTGTTTCAGCAAACTTAAGAAAAGGCACTTTCTAAAAACCCTTTAATTCAGGATTGAAAGAAACCATTCAAAATCTGCTTATAGACTTTAAGTATAACTCCTTCCCCTGGGGAGGGAAAAAAAAAATTACACAGCTAAAGCTAATTTGGAAAATCTTATCAGAATATTAAAAATGAAATAATGTAAATTTCCACTCATTTACAACTTTGAAACCAATTAAACTATTCATTTAAGATATCAAAATATGTTTGAAATGGAAACTGCAACAGTAGGGAAGCCTCGCTGTCACACAGGTTTTATCTGGCTCTCCTCTGACGAACCAACAAAAGGTGGGGTGTAAATGACCTGAAAGGGTCTGATTAGAACTATTGATTTTTCGTACAGAATTTTCAGCCTGATCTCAAACTCATTTGTCACAGAATAATTGCCTATAATGAACAGCACAAGTCAATCTCTCTGACCTTGAACTCATGCACTCTCCTCAGAATCAAAATGCTGCCAATTGCAGTGTTGGAATATTAATGGTATATAAGGAATGCCTTTAATATGCCAGTCCCAAACCATTCTGAAAGTCTATCAGAAGAATCTTTGTAAAAGTCCAATAATTTTCTTAAAAAAAGCATCCAGGGGCTTCCCTGGTGGCGCAATGGTTGAGAGTCTACCTGCCGATGCAGGGGACACGAGAAAGTACCCCGGTCCGGGAAGATCCCACGTGCCGCGGAGCAGCTGGGCCCGTGAGCCATGGCCGCTGAGCCTGTGAGTCCGGAGCCTGTGCTCCGCAATGGGAGAGGCCGCAACAGTGAGAGGCCCGCATACCGCAAAAAAAAAAAAAAAGCATCCAAAGAGGAAAGTTTATTAAAAGTTTAGCATTTGTTTAAAATTGTAATAATTTCCTTTAAAAAAAAAATCATAGATATCATCACTCACAGATCCTTTGCAAAAGAATATAATAGGATTTACTCTATCTAGAATTCAGCTGTTAGCAAATAAACCTTAGAAGTTAGGAATTATAAGACCAAAATGTAGCTGAAGAGTTGGCTAGTGCCCCCAGAGCCTGTGCACTTGACCTACAAGACACAGAGCCAAGCCCCCTCACTGGGGCTTGCTTGTCATTTTAGAAGCAATCCTGATCAACTCAGTCACCTAATTTCAAAGTCTAGGACAGACCTGAAACAGAAAATCTTAAGTTGGCTGAGGGCTACACAGAGCTATAAGTGACATTAAGGGGAAGACAGAAAAGCAGAAGTTCAAGAAGTACAGGGGCCAGGGCATTCTGGGGAAATAGTAACAGGTTCAGAGGACCCACCGTTTCAAATGCAAGAATATTTAATATTCCTAGGATTTTCCCCAGGTAATCGAAAAAGAGTTAAAGTATGTTCAAGAATATAGGTAGAAATACTTCTAAATAGATTTGTCCTTCATTATATCATTACCAATTGGGTGAATATAAGAAGATAAACCACACTAACCTAAGCAAAACAAACAGAAGATTTTAAAAAATAAAAAAACCACTTTACTCCTGGTCCCATTCTATGTGCACAGAAAATTAAAAGCAAACAAATTAAGACACACACCACTTACACTATGGCCACCTACAAGTTCCACTTCACGCACAAAGCATCCAGTTTATCCTACAGAAGACTTCTTCAGAAGCCTGCTTATTAACTCAACTATTATGAAAGGGACAAACGTGGCTAGTGGTATGCCTAAAAAGTCACTTTTCTCTTTTTATTTAGCCACTGTTACTACAAAAGTATATGTGACTTCATTTTTGAGCCAACTCCATTTACACATATGAGTCAGGAGCTAGCTATATAAACTAAAAGCAGGATAAAATTTTTAGCAATGATTTCTTTTTATAAACTATCCCAATCCCGCCTGTAAATCTACATGATTTTTTCATATATTGATTTTAAAACCGAAATGTCACCCTTCTTCTAATAAGATGTTATTAAACGTTAACTCAGTATTTTCACTTTATACTTACATTTCTGACTTGGAAACATTACATTACAGCTGCTATAATAATTTATTAGAAGAAAATCTGACACCCCCCCACACACTTTAATTGATTGAAAGGCAAAAACCAGTTAACGCTTGTTTTTATCATGATTAAGGGCTTATATTCTCATCTAAGGAAACTTTGTGCCATTATTTTATCAAGTTAATAGATATACTTACTTATTACATTATATATATCATTATTAACGTAACTTCCACGTACTGGTCTCTTGCCACGTCTCAGGCACATACACCCAATAGTTAAGGAAACTGAGGCTTGGGATAAGTGAAGTAACTGGCTCAGAGCCGCACTGCTAGCGACAACGGATCATTCCAAGGGCGTGTTCTAACCTGTGCTACACTAGATGCCTATGCTTCATTAGAACCTACATTATACAGATACTGCCCAACTTTTGTATCTATAATTCCAGGGAACATCCCGCAATGGAATCCTGACCTCAGGGAAGCATTAGACAAGCGCATTCACTTCTTTTACAGGAGACCAAGGGCCTCAAGGGGTTTGTCTCAGGCATAAATTTTACTGACGTAAAGAAATTTTTTTTTTTAAATGTAAAAGTTCCTGACTAATACTGCATTAACACTGAACTGCCTCTAAGCAAAACATAATCAAGTGGCCAAAACTAAACCAAGGTGGGCTTCCCTGGTGGCGCAGTGCTTGAGAGTCTGCCTGCCGATGCAGGAGACGCGGGTTCGTGCCCCGTTTCGGGAGGATCCCACATGCCGCGGAGCGGCTGGGCCCGTGAGCCATGGCCGCTGAGCCTGCGCGTCCGGAGCCTGTGCTCCGCAAATGGGAGAGGCCGCGACAGTGAGAGGCCCGCATAACGCAAAAAAAAAAAAAAAAAAAAAAAAACTAAACCAAGGTACAAATAACATCTCAATTGGAAATCATGTAGAATACTGACTTGCGTTTATTATTTATTCTTACAACATTTATACCTATTTAGAAATCAGCAATAATATACACAATTCAGAACAAAACACCCCTCCCCATCTTATTTAAAGGTCTAAACTCGTCCTACCTTCTAGAAGTTCACAGTGTAAAACCAGAAAAGCCACAGGAACATAAGAGTAAATGTAAGGGGTCAGCTAACTATGGTCCATGAGCCCATCCGGCCCAACACTTGACTTTGTCATAAAGTGCTACCAGAACACAGCCATGCCCATTGATGTAAGACTGTCTATGTTTGCTTTTGTGATAAAACAGCAGAGTTGAGTAATTCTGAGAGACAATTTGGACTATAAAACCTAAAATATTTGTTATCTGGGCCCTTCAGAGAAACAGTTGGTTAAGATCCCTGATATACACAGATTCTGTAACACACAACTATAACTGTATAAATATATGAATACAATCTGATACAGTACCAGTGAGAATGAAAGTGTACCTTATATGAATATGGCTGTTAGGTTAAAAGAAGGTGGGATGATTTTGTGAAGAACTCACCGGGTGAGAGTGAACTGAGATAAGAGGTACAGACCTTGATTATAAGGTCTCCCTGTTTGAAACCAAACATTATTTTTTAATTAGAAAAAGAAAAGTCCTACCTCTGGTTCTGTTTTTGCTTCCTCTTTAGGCCGGCCCACAGGGCTAACTGGCTTGACTTTCACATCAGCCTTCCCCTGCGCAGTCCTGGGCCCCACCCCGGGCCTCGTGGGCGGTGACGTGCTGATAATAGGCTTTACTTGAGCGCCGGCTGGTGCGGAGGAGCAGCGACTGTTACTCACTTCTATAACATGTGAGGGTGCTATTGGTAATTCACGCAAATTACTGTTTCTTGGAGCAGTTGGCTGCATTTGCTGCATTGGTCGTTTGGTTACATTCTGAGAAGTTGTGTTCTATCATCACAAGAAGAAAGAAATTCTAATTACAACTGGAAACTTGGGAGAAGAAACATAAAAAGGCACATTAGATTAAAATATTTTTAAAAATCATTCTAACTGAATAAGTGACTTCTCCTTTGGGGGGCAGATACCTTCCTGTTGGTAAACATTTTTTCCCTGCATAAATGCTTTCTGCTCTACATAGTAACATACCCTTACTGATAAGGACTGGGGCTGGGAAAGGTACCATACCTGCCTACAGACAGGATCCTCTTTATGGATATTACACCAGGTGACTTACAGGATGGGGACAAACATTTTTAACAGAATCAACAGTGCAACAAGGACTCCCGCACAAGGAGTCAGCTGGGTTAATGGCACCACCACTGTCAATGGGTCCCCTAAATTGAAGGTAGAACAAACAAAGAAGGAAGCATTAAGTTAGTGCCCTAAGAAAAAGGAGAAAGATGCCCATAGCTCTCATCGGGGAGGAGACCGTCAAGTCATGTTCACCCTGAGGATTCTTAACAGAGGCCCAACGCCTAGAGGAGTGTGTAGATCTGTGAGATGGCAGGGGGAGGACTGCATTCCACGGCTGCTCAGCTCAAGACTGGGGGTGTTGTCTACCACTGTTCTTACAAAATGAAGCCCAGGTTACAAAGCACCCTCTCCAGATCTAGAAATCCTTTCTTACTTCTTACATCGTTTTAGTCTCAATGCTACTTTAAGAAACAAAGAGGCAGGTATGAAAAAACTGAGATTAAAAGCAGCTAAGTGACATGCTTGAAGCTCAGGGTCAAAAGGACCAGTATTAAAGGGAAAACGCAACTATCTCACCTTACAGCCTGGAACTCTAACCCTGAGCCTCTTTACACGGTTAGTTATTTAATGGAGGATAAGACAGTAACCGTGACTAGTCTTTGACTTTTAAAGCGACACACATCTCCCAGTCTCTTTCAATGCATGACAAGCCATACGTCTGCCGATGGTACTCGAGAGCGTAACCTCACAGATCAATGCAGTCCATCCCCCACGATTAACTATAAGCTCCATGAAGGCGGGAAATGTGTCTCTCTCATTCACTGCTATATTCCCAGGAACCAGAGCAGTGCCTAACAACAAAGGATATTCAAGAAATTCTTCCTGAATTCATTTACTTGTGCATTCACTGCCCAAGGAGATAGACAGCCACTGGCAAAGGTAGAATGATTATCACCCAAAACTACTTTCTGAAGTCATGCATCAATTACTAAGGCCATCTTGCACTACAGGAGGATCTAGACACACAAGGCCCCGCGACATAAAAGGTGCCCCTGGAAGACAGCTGAGGAACTGGACACTTACATGCCTTAGCCCCTGGCGCTGGGGGCACTGCGTCCGACTGCTGCTTGGCTGAGGCGGCCCCGTCTGCATGTGAGGCCTGAACTGGGGCTGAGCCGCGGGCATCAGGGGCGGGGGAGGAACAGAGAGGTGGTGGTGCTGGTGCTGGTGCGGGTGCGGGTGCGGGTGCGGCGGCGGCGGCGGCGGCGGCGGCGGCGGCTGGTGCTGCGAGGGTGGCTGGAGCGGGGGCGGGAGCGGGGGCTGCTGCTGGGGCTGCGGGGGGGGGGGCAGAGGGGGGGGCAGGGGGCCCTTCCCAGCCAACAAGAGAGAAG